TCACCCTCACTTTTTTTTGTTTCCCCCTCGCGTGCCGCCTGCCTCGCGCGCGCGCAGGCGCGCGCTCGCGCAGGCGCGCGAGGACGCGCCGCGGCGGCAGGCCGCCGAGCGCGGGGCAGGAAGAGGGCGAGAGGCGAAGGGGGCGGAGGAGGGACAGGAGGCGGAGCAGGCGGAGAAAGCGGCGGTCACGAACTCCTCAGCCTTCTTGATCTAACTGCCGGGCCACCAACCGTCAGTCGCCTGCGCCCGCGCCCCGGTGGAGACGCGCGGGGGGCCGTGCGGCTCCTCGGCCACGAAAAGGCTCCACAGCTCGACCAGGCGGCCCACCCCGACCGGAGGCTTCGACGCCGGAATCGAAGGCCGAGATGTCTCCATGTCCCTGGCCATGTCGTCGAAATCGACGACGTCGCCTCTGCAGACCTGCACGTAGGAAGTCACGGTTCGCGACGTGGGCGGCTTGGCGCCGCGCCGGCAGCCGCGGGGGCTTCGCGCGCTCTCCTCCAAGGCGCCCTCGCGGCTGCCGCTCCTCGGCTCCGGCAGGCCCACGGCGGCCCGGCTCCACCTCCAGAAGTCCTCGTCCGACGTCCAGCGGCCGTCCTCTCGGTCGCGGTCCTCGGCCGCGCCGTCCTGCCGCACCAGCGAGTACGCGTCGGCCGCGCGCGTGTTCGCGTCGACGAAGCTCGACCACCCCGCGCCGGGCACCGTGCAGCGGACGCAGACCCAGGCGCTGGGCAACAGCAAGAGGCACGCGAGGGCTCCGGCCAGCATGAAGCGCCCGCTCCGCTCGCGTGCGCGGGCCGGCGGGCCCTCCACGGGCAGCGACGCCGACCGCGCCGGGGCGCCCAGAAGCTGCGCCGCCGCTGGGCTGGTCGGTGGCGGCTCCTCAAGGTCTTCGGCGCCCGACCCGAGGACCGCATCGGCCAGTACTCTCAGGGAAATGGCGGTCGTGCTTGTGGCGGTGGCTGTCGTCGACTCGGATGTAGCCGTTGACGACATGGTGGTAGCCGTTGACGACAGGGTGGTGGCCGTTGGCGTCGCGGTGGAGCTCGCTGTCGACAGGGTGGTTGTGATGGTCGTGGTCATCGCTGTCGAGGTGCGCGTCGTGGCGGTGGCGGTCCAGGTGTTCGTCGTTGCCGTGGCGGTCGGGGTCCCAGTTGTGGCGGTAGCGGTCGAGGCCGGCGGGCTCGTCGGCGCCGCCGTGAGGCGAGGCTGCTCCGCCATCCTCGGGCTCGCCGCGCACCTGCCGCAGTCGACGCCCTCGCACGTGTCGATCCAGTAGAGATCGCTGGAGGCGGGGGCGAGGCCAAGGAACTGCTCCACCGCGTCGAGCATCGTGACCCGCTGATGGAACAGGTCTTCACTGAATCGGTCCTGCGTGCTCAGCATGTGGCTCCAACAAGCCCAGGAGAGCAGCACGCGGTCGGGCGATATGAGCTCCCACAGGACGGCCACCGTCTCGTGGGCGAGCCGCTTGGCGTACGCTGTCTCCTCGCGGCCCCTCGGGCGGTGCCCGACGTAGGCGCTGAGTTGGAACTCGTCGTACTGCGAGGCCACCAGCAGGTAGGGGGTCTCTACGGAGGGGAGCCTGTACTGCCCGAAGGTGCACTTCCACGCGGAGTCCGCGCGGTGCCTCCTCTCGCAGTCGCGGCCCAAGTGCCCGACATTGGCGTACTCGAACACCCTGCGGGCCTGTTCGGGGAAGCTGAGCTCGGCGGGGTGGTGGCGCCCGGCCCTCTGCTGGCTGCTCCCCTTGAAGGGCTCAGTGTCCAACCAAAGCGGGGAATCGAAGAACCCCTTCACCACCAGGTTGGAGGCGTCGGGGATTTTCAGCATTGACTTGACGTAATCCAGGTGCACCAGCGCGCCCCGCGCTCCAGCAGAGCCGCCGCCGAAGAGCAGCATGTCCTCGGCGCCCTCGCGCGCGAGGCCGAGCGCGCGCCGGCTGGCGAGATCCCGGAGCACCGCGGCCACGATGCGCGTGCCGCGGAACTCCATGCCGAAGGCGCTAGAGTCGCCCATGAAGGCGTCGGAGGAGCAGTAGCGTACATAAACCTTGTTGGCATCCCGCAGGCGCGAGCCGCTTGCGGGGGCGAAGATGCCGCACAACTCGTCGGGGGAGCCGGGCCCGCACGGGTAGTCGCCGAGCGCCAGCTGTGAGGCCCACCCCTTCGAGCTGCACAGCGGCGACGCCGTGCCCTTGGGGCAGCGCCGTCCGCAGCTGCCGGCGTCGTAGCACCAGCCGCCGCCCTCAAGGTAGACGATCCACAGCCTGGAGCCCTCCTCCGTCGGGGCGCGGCCCCAGTAGTAGCCAGCAGGGCTCCCGTCGCTGCACACGGCGAGCGGATCCTCGAGGGGCTGCAGGACCAGCTGCTCGGCGGCGGCCCTGGCGGCCTGCGCAGCGGGCGCCACGGCGCAGGCAGCCGCCAGCAGCCCCGCGGAGCGAATTCTGGGCGCCATCTCGCGCCTCCCATGCAGACAGCGGGTCATGCATCAGTGTGAGGCCGCCGCCATGGCCCCCCGCCGGCAGCCAGCAGCGGGCGCGGCTGGCGCCCTTGAGCCACCAGCATTGATCGTGGGTTCGTGCCGAAGGTGGATGGAGTGCGGCGTTCGCGTCTGAGCGCGTTCGCGGCTGGCTGCAATCGCACTGCCCGTGGGTGTTTCAAACAGTAACTGGTGAATCAAATGCTCAGCCCTTCATATACCCTAAGACCTGCCTCAACACCTTCGATGAGCCTCCTCAGAGTTATCCTTTGTCCTGGTGCGTCTGATTCGACTGCTGCGGCGCTCCTCCCCTCATCATTATGCGTTTCCTTTTGCTGCCCCCGCTGCTGCTACATCTGCTGGGTGGCGGCCGCCTCGAATGGCCGCGACCTCCCCCCGGAACCCGTCGAGGCCGTCCTGCCAGCGCAAAACCACTTCTTCGACTGACCCGCTAGCTCTTTCCCAGAACTTTCAGCGCAACACACCTCAGATCTGAACATGCTGCCCTGCCTTCATCGCTCTCCTTGCTGTCACACCTCCCATTCATTCTCCAGGACGCCCGCTAACCCATGCCTGAAGCCTCCCAGTACACCCGCAATTAATCTAAAGCAGTCCCATCCTCGTCAGCCTCCTGCTCCTGCTGCTCCTGATGCTCCTGCTGCTCCTGCTGCTCCTGCTGCTGCTGCTGCTGCTCCTCCTCCTCCTCCTCCTCCTCCTTCTCCTCCCCTCATCATTGTCTTCGATTCAGCCTCTTTAGCTCGACGGGCCCGAGGGCCGCCTTCTGAGCAACCTCGAGATCAGGCCCGAGCCAGGGCGACCGCGCGATCTCCTACAAACGCCGAGCCATGTCCTTCCGAAGTGCCCCCGCACTGTCCCTTCTCCCCCGCCTCGCCCTCCTCCTGCTGCTGCTGCTGCTGCTGCTGCTGCTGCTGGTGCGCCTCCTCCTCCTCCTCCTTCTCCTCCTCCGCCTCCTCCTCCTCATCTTCCTCCTCCTCCTCCCTCCCCCCTGTCACTACGCCTGCCTCTGCTCCTCCTCCTCCTCCTCTTCCTCCTCCCGCTTCTCCTTCTCCTCCTCCTCCTCCTCCTCCTCAACCTGCAGCTGCTCCTCCTCCTCCTCCTCCTCCTCCTTCTCCTCCTTCTCCTCCTCTCCTCCTCCTCCTCCTCCTCCTTCTCCTCCTCCTCCTCCTCCTCCTCCTCCTCCTCCTCCTCCTCCTCCTCCTCCTCCTGCTTGCATGGCTCCTGCTACTGCTGGTGCTGCTCCTTGAGCTGACCATCATCCTCACGGGGTCCCGCATCCTGGCACTGCTGCAACTCATCCTCCTCACCCCCCGGCTCACCATCCTCTTCCTTCTCACACCTCTACTCCTTCCTTCTCCTGATATGCATCCACCCCCTCCCCCTCCTCCTGTCCCCCCCCCCACGTCTCCATCCTCTCTGCACTCCCCCTTCCCGCATCACCCCTCGCCACCCCGCCTCTCCCCCAATCCCTCGCCATCCTCGCCCCACCGTGTTCCCTGTACTTCTCCTCGTCATCCTCCTGTCCTCTGTCTCCTCCTCGCCTTCCTCCCTCCTCCCTCCATCCTCCACTCCTCCTCCCCGCTGGGAGGAATGGCACGCTAATCGGGCTTCGGGAGTGTGGGCCCGAGCCGGCGTCAAAAAAGGCGACCACGATGCATCAATGAGCCCCAGCCGCCCTGGTCATCTTCCTCTGTTCCTCTAGTCCTTCCTGACCCTCTCTTGCTCACTCTCTCTCTCTCTCTCTTTCTCGCTCTTTCCCTCCATCCCACTCTCTCCCTCTCCCTCCTGCTTCCTCCTGCTCATCCCCGCTCCGCCGCTTCCCCGCCCCCTCCCGCCTCCTCACCCCCTCCCCTCCTCACCCCCTCCCCTCCCTTCACCCCGCCCCCTCCTCACCCCCTCCCCTCCCCTCCCCGCACCCCCTTAGGGTCGCGGCTGACAGTTGCGCAACACATCATCGTGGCACGGGCCCCCTCACTGCTCGTGTCACCCGCTGTCCCGATCGCGCCGGCTGCCCGGGTGGCGCTCGGCAGTGAGGACGCCTCCTGGTGGCACGACGCCGCAGAGGTGGCCCGCCTCTTCGGCGTGGAGGCGCCCCGCCCCGTGGTTGTCTCTGCGCAGGCAGTGGGGTCGGGCCCTGTCGCGCGTCGCCCGGCGGTCCGCTCATGGGCCCGCTGGTGTGTGGTGCCCTGGGTGCTGCGGGAGGCCGAGAGGGCGTGGTTCTGCGAGTAGGTGGCGCGCCTCAGCGATGATGGCTCGGTGCCGATTGCACCCGTCCTGCCGCTGTGGGCATGCTGCGTGGTGCACGGCCCGCATCACGAAATTCCCGTGAGGGTCTCGGGGTTCCCAGCCGAACGCGTGCCCCAGGTTTGCCCGCTGCGCCGCGAAAGTCCACCGCGCGGGGCCCTCAAGAAGGTGGACTGCGTCAGGGAGCTGGCCGCCAAATTTTCGAGCACGCTTGCGCTGCTGAAAGAAATGTTGCCTGCATGCTTGCGCTGCATCCTCTGCGTCCTCGTCGGTCCCCCCTTTCCATCCTCCTCCCTCTCCTCGCCCCCCCTCGTCAGACGCTCCAGGGCAAGGCGCCGGTCACCGCGTATGCGAGCGCAGCTGATTCACCGGTGAATGGCTGGCTGTCGAGGCGATCTGGGTCGGTGCTTCGCCTGGAGCTCCTTCTGTTCCTCCCTCTCTCCGCCCCCGCTTCCTCTCCCCACCTCGCTCGCCCACTTCTTCCCCTCCGTCTTCCCTCCGCCCTCCCTCCTCCCCCCACTCCGCCTGTTTCCCCCTCCCGCCTCTTCGCCCTCCCCACCCATTCCCCAGGAAGCTTAAGGGACGGCGCGAAGCCCGCTATTGGGCACGAGTCCGAGCGCCGTCCCACCACCACCACCACCACCATCAACAGCATCAGCATCAGCATCAGCATCAGCATCAGCATCAGCATCATCATCATCATCATCATCATCATCAGCATCAGCATCATCATCATCAGCATCAGCATCAGCATCATCAGCATCATCAGCATCAACATCACCAACACCATCACCATCACCATCACCACCACCATCACCATCACCATCACCATCACCATCATCGTCATCATCACCATCATCATCGTCATCACATTCATCATCATCATCATCATCATCATCATCATCATCATCATCGTCATCATCATCATCATCATCACATTCATTATCACATTCACCATCATCATCATCATCATCGTCGTCAACGTCGTCTTCATCCTTATCCTCATCCTCATCCTCATCCTCATCCTCATCGTCATTATCCTCATCCTCATCCTCATCCTCATCCTCATCATCCTCATCCTCAGTCTCGTTCGTCTTCATCCTCAGCATCACCACCATCATCATCATCATCGTCATCATCAGCATCATCAGCATGAGCATGATCATCTTCAACATCTGCATCATCATCAGGAGCGAAATTAGCTTGAGCACCAGCACCAGCACCAGCATCATCAGCATCACCATCATCATCGCCATCAACATCATCATCATCATCAGCATCATCAGCAGCATCGTCGTCGTTATCAGCATCACCAGCATCATCATCATCATCATCATCATCATCATCATCAGCTTCATCATAGCCAACAGCAGCACCCTCATCAGCATCATCAGCAGCATCATCATCAACACATCATCATCGCCACCATCTCGTCTCATTATCATCATCAGCATCAGCATCAGCATCATCATCACCACCATCAGCATCATCATCGTTATCAGCGTCATCATCACCAGCAACATCAGCAGGACCAGCAGCACAATCATCACCATGATCAGCATCAACAGCATTAGCACCACCATGATCATCATCATCATGATCATCATCAGCATCGACATCATCATCAACATCAGCATCAGCATCATCAGCATCATCATCGTAAGTAGCAGCGTCAGCCTCAGCCTCAGCATCACCATCATGATCATCGTCATCAGCAGCAGCAGCGTCGACATCAGCCTCAGCATTATCATCAACATCATTATCATCATCACCACCGTCACCATCAGCAGCATCAGCATCGGCACAATCACCGTCATCAGCATCAGCATTCGCATCATCATTCTTATCAGCATCATCATCAACCACAACATCAACAACATCCTCCTTGTCAGTCTGTCTCCGGCCCAATCTTCCTCGTCGTCCTCGGCTCCTCGTAACCCTCCTTGTCCTCTTCCTCCGCCTCCTCCTCTCCCCTCATCCTGCTTCACAGGCCCCCTCCGTCCTCCTCCGCGCTCTCCTCCTTCTCCAACACACTCCTCCTTTCCATTGTTCCCGCCTTCCCGCCCATCAAAGCGCAGCAGCAACAGCCCTGATCCTTTCACCGTTGCTCTCGCTCAATGGTCCACCTACCCCACGTGGGGGCAGACGCCACGTAAGCCAGCCAAACAGGCCCGATGGAGGCCTAAGAACAACCCGAAAGGCCCCTAAGCGCAGGATGCTGACTGTTCTTGTGCCCCTGGAGGATGGTATAGTTGTCTTTTTGACCGCCGCCCCTAGCATATCAACATTGCGTAGACGAGTAAGCAAACATGTTCGGGGGTCCAAGCGGATTTACTGAGTCGGCGCCAACCCCCCCTCCCCTGGTGCACGAAACGCACCAGCAGGCTACATGCAAAACTGATACCAAGCAAGGGTGGCTTCACCTCTGCGAGGTTGTGGACAAACAAATCTGGACATGAGGAAGCATGGATAAGGAACAAAAGTTCGCTGCTCTTTCTGGGGACCTTCCTGGAGCCATTTGCTCCACTCGTGCGTCGAAGCTGCGTCGAACGTCCGTCGACTCGAGTCGAACCCGAGTCGAACCTGAGTCGACCTTGAGTCGAACTGGAGTCAAAATGGAGGCGAACAGATCTAATAGGTGGGCCCCAGAAAAGGTCCCCAAAACGAGCATCGAGAACGACAAAATCCCGCGGCCGCCAGGCCCCAAAGGGCCTGAAACTCCCTGGCATCCCGCCTTCCGCTCTCGGGTGGGGACCGCTCGAACCCACACAATTCCTATAAGAACAGAACATGGCATACATATAATGTCCTGGAGGTCCGCGTGCATTCCTTGGATCGGCGCTGGACCCCTCCCTCCTGGCGAGTGGATTGCGCCAGGGGCTGTCGGAGACGCTCCCAGGGAGGCCCGGCGCCTATCCAAGAAATCCACGCGGTCGATTGACACTGGTCCCTCCCAGGTGGAGCCACGGCTCTCTCGCTCGCCTCGGCGCTCCGCGCGCGTGCGAGGCCGCGGGGTCTCCTGGACGCGGGCGGCCATCAGGGCTTCCAGCCGGGCCTGCAGGCGGGAGAGAGCCCCCGCCTCCGCCGCTTGTCCGACCCTCTTCAGCCTCTTCAGATCCCCGATCCTGGGCATCGTCCTCGAACGCAAGATCGGGACAAAACCAGACACGGAAAAGCCAAGAATCTCTGAATCATGGCAATTCGGAGGGATGTACCGGGTGCCACAGCCTTCTCACAGCTCGGGTGTTGCTAGAAGTGCCCCTGGCCCAAGGTCCCCCCAGGATTTCTACGGAGGCCCCCACGGCCTCCAGAGCACCTCATCACGAGGCCCAGAGGGCCCCAGGACTTCCAAAATTTAGCGCAAAGCTGGGGGCACCTTGGCCCAGGGGCACCTTTAACAACCCCCGAACAGCGTCCCAGAACACTCTGAGAGCGTCCCGGAAGGCCCTCGAGCGATTTATCCGACTCCTGAACCCGATTTGCCGTCGATCCTCCTCCGCCGTCTCCTCACAACGATGCTCTCTGGCTGCCCTGGCTTGGACGGACAACGACCGTTGCGCCCGATCGCGTCGAAGGCTCCTCCCCCTCCTCCTCGCCCGCCCCGTCACCCGAACACATGATCCTCTTCCTCCTCCTCCTCCTCCTCCTCCTCCTCCTGCTCCTCTTCGCTCCACCATGCGCTTCTCCCAGCGCTCCTCCTCTAGAGGCCTCCTATACAGGGTCCGAATAGGTGGGATCGAAGGATCGCGACGCATCGCCGATGCATCGGCGATGCATCGCCGATGCATTGACGATGCACCGGCGGCGTCGGCGGTGCATCGGCGAGGCCGGCGCGGAGAAGGTCGGGCTCCACATTGAGCCGCATCGGCGATGCGTCGACAATGCGGCGCGACGCTCCGACCCCATCTACTCGGCCCCCATTTAGGAGGCCTAGACCCTCCTCCTCCTCCTCCTCCTCCTCCTCCTCCTCTTCCTCCTCCTCGTGCATCCTTACGCTTCGCCTCCTCCTCCTCCACCTCCTCCTCGCCCCGCTCATCCCCCTGACCGACATGTTCCTCCTCCATCCCTTCTCCTCATAGATAACTCCTCCCTGTCGCACCCCGAGGCCAGTTTTTAGGGCGGGCCGGGCGTTCTGCCCGAGACTTCCTCACCGTTTATGACTCTGGAGCTTGAAAAGTGACAACAGCTTTACAAGTGGAGGGCGGGTGGCTTTCAAAATGTGGCTCTCGCCATAGTGCCGCGCACATTCGTTTTAAACATTTGCTAGAGTTTCACGGATTGAGGGCGGGTGGTTTTCAAAATGTGGCTCTCGCCATAGCACCGCGTACATTCGTTTTAAACATTTGCAAGAATTTCACGGATTGAAGACGGTTCCTTTTCAAAATGTGGCTCTCGCCTTAGCGCCGCGCACACTCGTTTGAAAACTTCGCACGAGTTTCACGGATTCCTATGATCAGCGTACCAGAAATGGTGTTTTGAAACGATGCAGGAAGATGCGGGCGCAACAATTATGTTGATCCGATGTGTCGAAATCCCCTCCCAAAATGGCTTTCTGCCACGGTTCTGGATCGTCAAGACACAGCATACAGCATACAGGTTGACACGTGGCGTTGAAATCCCGAGAATAATGATTGGGCACGCTTCAGGATCTTCAAACTGTTGTCTTTCAACGAGGCAGTTCCCTATGGAAACTAACCGTTGTAGGGGTCTATGAAGAGGGAGCTTGGAGGGAGGGTGAATGCCAACATCGTTGATGACTCTTGGGTTTCCACTGGTCCTCCTCCTCCTCCTCCTCACCCACGTTGCCGCCGCGTGCTCTCGCGATGGGCTGCGCCTGGCCTGCCGATTCTCCAAAAAATTCGCGTTCCTCCTCCTCCACCTCCTTCTCTGCTTCGTTCCCCTCCTCGTCGTCCTCCTCGTCGTCCTCATTCTCCTCCTCCTCCTCCTCCTCCTCCTCCTCCTCCTCCTCCTCCTGTTGATTTTCACCCGCGTCATCTCCGAGGCCGCCCATGATTTGCTTGTCTCATACTGGGCTCGACATGGCCCTTGGCCCTGGCCTGTCGCAGCCACGAGCCTGGGGCATCTGGCCCGTTTCATATGGAAGGGAGCGGGTGGTTCTGGAGCGGGGGCGGGGCTGGCGCTCTCGTTATCTACTGCGCGGTAGCCGAGGCCTTGGGCATCCGCTTTCTGGCGCGCCGCAAACTGGCGGCCGCCAGCGACGATGCCTCAATGCTTGACTGACGCTCGTTCTTTGCATGCGGGAGTTCCGTTCGCCCTCTTTGTTATGCGGCTCGCCCGCGTGGCCGCCGCCTGCTCCCGAGATGGCCTTCTCATCCCCTGGTCTATACCCGAGGAGGCCGCGCGGGCAGGCCTGGCGAAAAGAGCTGAGTATACGGTGCAGACCCGGGCCCGCCGCGGCCGAGCGGCGACCGCTGCAGGCTCGGCAGGGGAGTGGAACAGGGAGATGGTGGAGATCATCGTCCAGGCGCCGACTCGATCATTACCTCCCTACTGCCAGTTGCTTGTGCAGTGCAACTGATAGCATGGAATGCTCAGGAAGAGGATGGCGGCCTGATCAGGCAGACCGAGGCAGCCCTGTGCAACTTCGGCGTGCGAGGGTCTTCCCTCGGACACCCTGCGCACGTCCCTGTGTGGGATGGGGATGGGGATGGGGATGGGGATGGGGATGGGGATGGGGATCCCCGGGGATGGGGATGGGGATGGGGATGATGATAATGATGAAGAAGATGATGATGATGATGATGATGATGATGATGATGATGCTGATGCTGATGATGATGCTGATGAAGATGAAGATGAAGATGAAGATGAGGATGAGGATGAGGATGAGGATGAGGATGAGGATGAGGATGAGGATAAGGATAAGGATGATGATGATGATGATGATGATGATGACGATGACGATGCTGATGATGGGGATAGGGATGGGGATGGCCACGAGCTTGGGAGAACGACGGAGCGAGGCGCGAGGCGCCCGTGTGCGGCGACGCGCTTGGGCCCGAGCTGGTCCGGGCAGGCCCCGTCGGGCCGCGGCGTCCCTCGGCTGAAGCAGAACCTTCGGCCCGCGCGAGGACCACCGCGGCCTCCGTGCTGCACGTGGCCACGCGGGGGGTCGTTGACGTCGTAGCGGTGCCAGTGTCGTGCTGGCGAGAGTCGGGCTGGGCGAAAGGGGGGGACAGCAAATGGGGGGTTTGAGAATCAGCTCACGCAGCTGATTTTCCCGGCGCCTCCCGGCGCCGGACGCGGCCATGTATCGAGGAATGGGCCCCTCGGCGGGGCCGAAACCAGCTGCATGTGGCAGATTTCGTAACCCCCCCTTTCCCTTTCCCCCCCTGTCGTCTGGGCCGAGAGAGGGGGGGGGATGTGGTCGCAGTGTCGCGGCGGTGGCTTTGTGGTGATTTGCTCTTGGAACTTCGCGCCATGGTGACGGGGAACAACGCGAAGTGCGCAAAAAGAACGACCTCGCACGACCCGAGACTGTCCTGGGAACGTTTCCAGCGATGTCGGGTCTCAGTTGGAGTGGGCCGAAGATGGAGATGGGGTAGGGTGACGAAGGAGGAGAGGAGGCAAGCTAGGTGCGCTCACGTCATATCTGACATCGAACCCCTCCCACCCATCTGTTCCCATTGCGCCAGATCCCATTCTATCCGCCGACTGGGGTGTTACAAGATTTGACGAATCGGTTGCTGTGCAATCGGGAAGTGGGGTACTGGTGTGGAGGGCGAGGATGAGGCGGATGAAGGTGGACGATGTGGAGGAGGTGCAAAACGAGGTGGAGGAACGGAACGGAACGGGATGCCCGCTGGAGAGCGCGGAACGCGACTTATTCGATTGAGTTCCGCTTGAGATTATCAAAATTCTTGGTGAAAATCCCAAGCGCCCCTGGAAGAGGACTCGGCCCTGAGCCGCGGTAGCCCACCTCAGCGCGGCAACTTCGGGCCAACAGAATCCCTACCGGAGGCCTCGGGCCTCGGCCACGGTGGCCCAGCTCAGTGCGGCAACATGGGGCCCTGCTAAAAAGGAAACACAACTTCACCCCCTGGAGTCAGCAACGGATGCCTGCTCTGTCAACCAGCTTGTCTCAACAAACCTGCCTTTATTCGCTCGTCTGGTGGGCCGTCTCAGATCCCGAAAAACTCTGTCTGACCACCGTGGGCGGGTCCTGGGTCCGAGGGGCGGCGGAACGGCCTAGCCTTGCAAGAAGCACAACACGATCGATCACAGCTCGAATTGGGGCATTGAGGCAGTTGCCATCCAGCCAACTCCTCGAGACCCTTACGAGCTGGGGCTTCACAGAGACGGCCTGATCTGATCCCTTCACCTTGGGACCACCCTCCACAACGCAATTATGCACAAGATGAGCTCCCTCGGCGCGGACCGACACAACTCCTGGGAAGCACCAGCTTCCCGAGCAACAGGTCCAGCCGTGGCGACCCCCCCGCGACCCGCCCCGCGCCCGCCCCCTCACCCTCATCCGCGATTGCGGGGTGCTCTGGTCGGGAACTTTTGCGTAGCGTGTCGCGGCGGCGGCCCCGGCGGCACGCGGCGCCTGGCGACAAAATCGCGCGTCGCTCCGCTCCGCAGGGGCGGGAGGCCAGGATCGGCCCGGCACGTGGACGCCTGGGGGCCCCAGGACGCGGACAGCGCGTCGCGCCGAAGCGGGGTGGCCCGGAAGCGGCGGCGCGAGACGCCAAGCCAAAGTTTGTGACTGTGTCCACCGCCTCCCTCAGGATTAATTCGGTCGGGCTTGTCCTCCTGCAGGCGGATCTTGGATGAACATCCTGAAATGGTCCAACAAAAACAAAAGCAAAAATAGTCGCACACAGTAGAAGAATCGTCCCCAGGCTATTTTTGACTATCTGTGAACATTTCTCCCCCAGACCCCCGAGGTCATGATTTTTTCATTGCGTCGACACCCCGAGGTCTGAACCTATTCCCCCCGGACCGGTGTTTCATCCCGAACCGCTATTTGACGGCCCCGAGGCCCGGTAGGGGTCTCCAGAGGCCGAAAATGGCGAAAAACCTCCTGTCGTG